TCTCTGTTTCTGTGTATCCATTACTTGGACACTCCCTCTCTCTTGTACCCTCTCTGTTTTCCCTGCCTCTTTCTCTCTTCATCTCACTTGGTCCAAGTTTTGTCTCCATGCCCTCACCCCTCCCTGCTGCAGTTTACCCCCTTTCTTTGTGTACTGTGGCTAAACTGCTCCTCCTTGTGTTTGAATAGGTGCATCACAAGTTACCCATGACACCAACAGCTATCGGAAGGGTGCAGTGTGGCTGCTCCAGTCCAGCATTTCTCAATCTCTGGGTCATGTCCCAGAATAAGCTGTTGGCCTGTTTCTCTTTAGTTCCCAAATGGCGAGATAATCAGCATGTTTTAATTAGCTGAATCCTCAAGAGGAGCAACCTATTTATTTAAATTTGGCTCTCAGATGTCTCAACCAAAATGCAGATCATCTTGAAATGTAAAAACATCATATAAAAGTATGAATAGATATTTGAATATGTTGGAATAAAATACCTTACTCTTTATAATCTTATGAGCCACATACATGAAAATGAAAGCCAGTGGCAAAGTTTGTCAGTACAATACAAGACATTTCTGCAATTCTTATAAACATGTACTATGTATGGCAAAAACTGTGTGGTGGGGTAACACTAGGGGGCACTATAGTGTCAATTACAGAAAGAACATTTGACAACAGGGCTGCTGATAGCTCTGTCATTATCCTGAGTCACTGCTGTGTCCCAGACTTTCATTATGCTGAATGTTTCATCTGCTACAATACAGGTAATTGAGGGAGGTTAAACACGCTTGTACCGCTGTGATACAAGATACAGGAATACAAAAACATCCTGAATGCTGAGCTGAAATGAAAGCCGGGTGTATTTCATTACTGATGTTAAAAGACTATGATATTGATTCTGGTTAAACAATGGTTTTAGGACAGGAGTCTGCTTGGTCATGTGATGCTCAAATGTCCTCATTTTGGAGTCATGTTAAATTTTTGTACTAAATTGGTGTTTAAAGACAGTGGTGTCCTGATTCTTTAGTGAAGTAAAATAACTGAAAATACTCCATTATATTTGAATGACCTTTATTTAAAACCCTGTGTAAGTAACAGTACAGAAGTATAGCTCCAAATGTAATGAATATTATTATATGTGACACTGTTAGATTGTACCTGATGCATGAATACTTAAAGTAGTAGTATTTTACAGAAGCTGCTCGAGATGGAACTAATTTTGTTACTTTATGTTTAATTAGGTAGTTTAGTCCAGTGGTTCCATTCTTGGGGCCCGGGCCTCCTCCAAAGGTTTACAAAATAAAACTGAGGGGTCATGAGATGATTAATGGGATAGTAATTAAACTATCTGAGGTGTTTTGTGGGGAAATGTCTCTTTGGCAGAACTGCTAATATACTCAGACATCCGAAACGTGACAGACATCTCATAGACACCATGTTTTGGCCACAAGCCAAAAGTTCAGATTCAGATCTTATACTGAAGTAAAAAATAGCAATACAACAGTGGGAAAATAATCTTGCATTCAAAATCTTAGTCAAGTAAAAGTACAATGTTTTAACATCAAAATACATTTAAAGTACCAAAAGTAAAATTACTCATTATGCAGAATGGCCCATTTCAGAATCATATAATATTAGGCTATTGGATTATATGATGCATGAATGTGTACTTCACTTTTAATGTTGCATCTGATAAAGGTGGGGTTAATTTGATTTGATTTATATTTTGTAATAATAATCTAAAGCTATTGAATAAATGTTGTGAAGTAAAAAGTCCTCAAAAAGGTATTTGGGTACAGTATTTAAGTAAAAGTACTTAAACAGTACGTCCCACCACTGTCTATTTTATAATCTAAGCAGGCCCTTATGTGTTTTTTGTGTCAAATCTAAAAATGCTACTAATAAGTGGCCAAAAAATTAGCCTACAATATTCCCTTGATAAATGTAGTACAGTAGAAGTATAGCCTAAAAGTATCATAGGTGAAGTACAAGTAGATACCTCAGAAAAGTAGGTTACAGATCATTAGATTATACTTTGGGTGTAAATCCAAACATGTGGATCTTTCAAATGTAATTTTGTAAAGCAGGAGTTGATGTAGGCCTGCTGGGAGTTCATGTTGGGAGAAATTAATATGTGCGTTTCACCAAATGAGGGCGCTGCTGTCACACTAACCTCCACGCAAGGGCTGATATTTGATGTCACTGTTGGTGGGGACAATAGAAACATCTCCCAGCGGGAGTTTTTTTTAGAAAGGTAGACACCGCACCAAACCACAGTGAGGTTTGGAAGGCATATGGCTTAAAACTTCAAAAACGTATTGGACTCACAGTAGAGAACAAGAGCTGTTAACCGTTTGTGTAGGCTTACCAAAGATATTACTAGAGCTTCTGGACATCAGGGGTTATAATTAATTGTTTTGATCAAAATGATTATGGACAGTAGTCGCAGGATATTAGTAGGGATATCCCCAATAAATTCCATGCCCTTGCCTCCACAGCATTTAACAAGGTGCATTAGCTCATCTGGATGAAGAGGGCTACAAGTGGAAAAACAAGAAGACACCACCAAAGATAATTTATTTTATTAAGCCTCAGGGTTACTCACTGAGTGATCGGTTGGACCAGTTGTGTGAGTGAGTGTTGTTACATATTCCAATTAAGCTACCTTTTTGTTTTTCTGTTTCCCAAAATGTAGACTACCACATTGTTTCATTGTTTATTCACTTGCTCAACCTGACTTTGACCCAATGCCCGCCCACAGCAGAATACCAATCAAATGTATATTGAAGGCAGCCAGTTACATCACTTCACAGAGCTCTGTGTGTGTGTGTGTGTGTGTGTGTGTGTGTGTGTGTGTGTGTGTGTGTGTGTGTGTGTGTGTGTGTGTGTGTGGTGGGGAAGTTTAGGGGCCCAGGGAGATGAAAGGTGTGCGGTCCCTGCTTAACATTGCTGTCCTATTATAATGCAGAGACGAGTGACATCCGACTCTCCACCATATGAAACACACAGAAATACCAAGACGGATTTGAATGGATTATTGACGAGAAGATAAAAAAAGGTCATGTAGTTTAAAGTTATAATAAACTAATTTAGAGCTTTGGAGTGGCTTTTGTGTTTGTGGGAAACAGTGGCATCCCATAAATGTGTCAAATGCTTGATCGACATCCTTATTTTATTTTCCATTCGACTCGATTTTTACGCACCCAAAACATGGATCCATGAAAGCCAATTGTTATGTGTTATTCAGAAGTGTATCAGTGTTTATAGGATAGGCCTATTTCAGGGACGATAGGAACAAATTGAGGTTTAAAATATTGCGATTTAAACTAGAGGAATTCATATTTCCTATAGTCTATGTGTAATTTGTCATAATATTCTCTTAATATTCCTCAGTGGAATTTACAGTAATTGCTGTGGTTGTTAGTGAATTTGGTGACCTTCTTAGAGACTTTTTGCTTTCTTATTGGTCTAATAAAGCCTATACTAAAACTTAAACTAATAAACTTGGATTGGAATGTTTAAAAAAAAAACTCGGAGACCCATTTCTCCAGGTCCTGGAGGACCCAGATTAATCTTCCCTGCCTCCACCTTTGGTTGTGGACGCACTCTTTTGAGAAGCACTGAGTCAGATCAAAGAGCTTGTTCCACTGCAGGTTCACCGCCCACCGACCCAGCCGCAGTCATGTCTTTGACCGGGATATGAATTGCGGAGAGCTCGCTTCAACACGCCTTTTCTTTAGGTTACTCCGGGACTTTTCAGGACTCCTGACCGTGTGTGTGTGTGTGTGTGTGTGTGGGAGGGGTGTGCGTTGCCTTTTATTATCGCAGACCAAAGAAGAGGGGATTAGACGATTTTGAAGCACTCACCTTTTATTCAAACAAATTATTCACTTCAGCTAATAAAAGGAATTTGACGCACGTGAACTTTTCTGAGGGTTGATTCAGGTTTTGCGAAACATCCAGCCCCCATCGTTCATTCCTGTAACTCTCTCTTCCCTCTCTGTCTTGCGTAGAAAATATAAATGTCCCAGACTCATTTCTCTAATCGATTGTATCGATTATTTATTATCTTCTGCTTTAAAAACTAAATAATTTAGCCTACATAATCGTACCCACTTTAGCGACTGTATGCATAACCATAAATATAATACACAATTTTAATAATGAAGAAGGCCTTGTTAAGAAACATGTATTATCTATAGTAACCCGGGAGTGGTTGGTTTTGCACTTTCTTTCATATACAAAACCTTTGAATACAACATCACAGGTGCCTCTGAGTCCTGAATGTCGACTGTGTCCAATACCCATTTGGTGTACGCACATGCGCCACATGCGCGTGCAATGTGTGGCCAGGGAAGGAGAGGGCAGGAGAGTTTCAAATGTGAAGTGGGGGTGAGAAGAGGAGGAGTGTGGACTAGAGAGAGAGAGAGAGAGAGAGATGCGGAGAGACCGTGAGGGGACAGGAAGGCAAAGGAACAGTGACGTTGCTGCTCAATCAGCGTTTTAATCTCCTGGTTAATCTTCCCTCAAGACAACAACCGGATCACGCATTTCACATGGCAGCTTTGTTTTATTTGTCTTCTTAGAGACAAGGTGGAGATGGAGAAAACGCCTCGCACTCTGCGCAAAATCCAACTTGATGCCAAACCATTTTACGCATGCCTTTGAATTGGACTTTTGCCTCTGATCTGTTGGAGAAAATGCTGCTGTAACTTCAGATCAACTATCGGCTCTCACCCACAGAGAAACTACCTGGGGATTACAAATACTGCCTATTTTTTAATTACTGTTTTGTTTTTATAATTTTAAAGAGAGGCTGGATGCAAAGGAGAGGGAGAGGGTGGAAGACAAGTGAACTGTAATAAACTAATTTAGAAATAGTGTGGGAAAACCACAGAACGCACGTGAGTTGGACGATTCGCCCGCGCCGCAGGGTTTACGTCCAGATCCAGCGACCCAGCAAGACAGAGAAAGGACGCTTCCTTTATTTTCTACCCATGTCTCAACAGCAGAGCACTTTCCCCAGCTGTGTGGAGGTGACGCGGCGGACCATGGACAACAGGCCTGTCCGGAGAAGGCGAACTGGTGCCGTGCGACATCTGCTGCTGGCTGCCGCCTTCCTCGCCTGCAGCTCCCAACTGGTGGTGGTGGATGCCAACTCATGGTGGTGAGTAACCGAATGATCACTGGTAGTGCATTGATGTTTTGAAAGATATGTTCAGGGGTGTGGTGGCGAATGAAAAGCCGGTGAACTGTGACCTCCATTTAGTAGTACTAAAGGGAGGGCAGCCCTTGACAGATTTTTAGAATACGATTTTAAAGATGTATATGTTAAAGCCTTTCATGTGTATCTGAACGATTGATGCCAGGTTTAAACCATGTTTACAAAAGGTCTCATCTTATCATCCATAGAGTTTTGCTTGTATGCTGTTGATAAGATGACAAATGGAAAAATGTGAAGAGCAGGGGTTAACCTTCAAGGACCCCTAAACAGACACAAATTAGACCACAGACCCCCATTTGATGACATTTTGTCCCAGGTCCCCCATCTGATAGGAGTTTTGCTTGTAGATGTTATATTGTAGAGTGAACAGCCAAAATAATCATACATTATGTCATGGTGAAAATAAATGATTCCCCTTTTTGATGGGGACACCTTGGACCCTCCTCAAGGACTACTTGGGGTCCCCAGACCCCAATTTGAGAACCACTGTTATATAGAGCACTAACAGTGAATGGAACAAATGTGAGGGCTCTATCACAATATTTACCCTGGCTTAGCCCCAAATGGTGCTGCACGGCGGCCTGCTGCTGTGCCTAGGACCTTCAATTAGCCACACTTGTTCTTGACTTACAAAACAACTATGCTACAATGCTATTCAGTTGGCTTTGTGCTTATGTAGCGGAGGGTGTGTGCAGGTTAGTTAGGTGCTTGTGGAGTTTGCCATTAGTCAGTTTATGTAGAAATATGGCATAGTTCATAGTTTGTTGTTTCCCTTTAGCAGCCTCCTTCCAATCCAATCCAAATGCAATCTGACAACGGCCATGTGTCCAAATCACGGCATAATACATTTATGGTATATTTTTGGGGGTGAAAACGGAGTAGGATAGGGAAACGCGAGGAGAGTGGTTGCAGTGATGAACACCAGAAGAGTCTATTTATCTACACTTTATAGACCAGTTGTACTAATAAACTTGTGTCTGAACTTTGTCCTCCGCCGCGCCGACCTCCTCTCAGAGAGCGAGTCATAGATCACAGAAACCCTGTCTGTGCCCCTTCTCTTTGAGCGTAACAGATAGAGTTTATTGGTTTAAATTTAGACTTAATGTGGCCTCTGCCTCTCAGGTCACTAGCTCTGACCCCGATCCAGCGGCCAGAGATGTACATCATTGGAGCTCAGCCTCTCTGCAGCCAGCTGTCTGGTCTCTCCCAGGTAAGTTCCTGTCTGCCTGCTTTAAACTTCTTTTTTAACATTTCAAATGTTGTAGGCTAAACACATCTCTTGATTATTGGGGGGGGGGTTGGCTCAAAAACATAAGCATTGACGAAAACACGTGATCTTCCTACTAATTCCCTCTTGTACCTTCTGTACACCTGACTATGAGTAAAAAGGCCAAATAAAGGAGAATCTCCCCACAGGGACCATTAAGGTATCAAACCATTAATGTGCTAATCTCTGCTAATCTCTCCTGTACTACCGTGCAGGGCCAGAGGAAGCTGTGCCAGCTGTACCAGGACCACATGACCTACATCGGAGACGGTGCCAAGACGGGCATCAAGGAGTGCCAGTACCAGTTTAGACAGAGGAGGTGGAACTGCAGCACTGTGGACAACACATCTGTGTTTGGACGGGTCATGCAGATTGGTGAGTTGACTTTCTGATGAGAAATCAGGAACAGCATTTGACAGTAATGACAGGTTCCAATCCTATGTTCTGAAGTGTTGTTGTGCTTTTAAGAAGCTTTTTTGTCCCCAATTCTGTGATTTCATAGTTTGTGTGTCAGTATAGCCAATTTTTCAGTAGTGATTTTAGCAAGCGGGCGGCACGGTGGTGCGGTGGTTAGCACTGTCGCCTCACAGCAAGATATGGGTTCGAACCCCGGTTGCCCCGGCCTTTCTGTGTGGAGTTTGCATGTTCTCTCTGGGTGCTCTGGCTTCCTCCCACCGTCCAAAAACATGCAGGCTAGGTTGATTGGTTACCCTAAATTGTCCTTGGGTGTGAGTGTGAGCGTGAGTGGTTGTTCGTCTATGTGTGGCCCTGCGATGGACTGGCAACCTTTCCAGGGTGTACCCCGCCTTGTGCCCAATGTCAACTGGGATTGGCTCCAGCCCCCCCGCGACCCTGTACGCAGGATAAGCGGTTGACGATGGATGGATTTTAGCAAGCGTACAAAAGCCCAGATGTTACTGTTAACTTTGTTCAGCAAAAAGTGTGTATGACCCTTAATCAAAACAGCAAGAAACGGCTACAGCTCGATTGTGTGTTTGGCTCTTTTGAAATATAAACTAAGCAATGACAGAAAAAGTTGTAGGCAACATGGAAAGGTTTGTTTTGAAAACCAAGCAGAGTATTCAGTCATGTTTGTCGTCTATCTGTTGAACTGCAGTCTTCACTAGAGTTTTTTTTGTTTTGCTTTGGTTGGACTGTTATTGTGATTGTGATTATTAACAGTGTTTGGACAGGCCCTGCAGATCAGGGTGTTGAATATTTGACAGAACAGAAGGGGTCATTTGTGGTCACATGATAATATTCCCTATAATACTCCTAGATGCTTACAGTATATAGTGTGCCTGTGACACTCAATGGGGAGTTATTAAGTTATTAATGGTATTTTTCTATTATCAGGCCAATTGTCATTATATTCCTTTCATGATGCCATTGTTTTTGCACAGGGCTTTACCTGTTTTATTATTATTTTAAGTAAAGTGCAGCAGTAGTTTTACTTAGTTTTTAGTTTTTACTGTATAGGATTTTTCTAAGAATCTTGAGTTCTTCATAGCATCCATTAATCTGTAAAGGCAACAAATACCCCAAAATGGCTGTAATACTCTTTTATTAGACCTATTAATAGTAATATTCATAACATTTTAGATATTGATTTTGCCCTGAATATTACCGAGAAACGCAGGTTTGCTTTGCTTGAGACCCTTTCCTGTTTGGAAATTGCACAAAAGCTTTCGCCTGTAAAACAGCGCACTTGTCGTTCCCACTTTACGCATGCGCAATGAGACGGATAACTTTCTCAGGAACCGTGAAGAGAGGCGGTTATCATGACGCATTAAAACTAGACAAATTTAGAGCGACAAAAAGAAAAAAACCGCGTCATCCATATGCAGTCATTTTAGTCAGTATCAGCGGAGGAGCTCAGATCCTGGATCAGTATAATCTGCGTCTAATTCCCAGCAGGAGATGTGGGAAACCTCTCATCAACAAGTAAGTGTCAAATCCGCTGCGGGCAGCCAGACGAGGTGTTTGCTGCTCTTTCTCTGTCTCCATCCCTCTCTGCCTGTCTCTCTATTGACAGTCAGTCTATCTCCAGGTTTATATGGAGGTGTTAGTCGGCCTATTGTCCCGCGGCTCCTCTTTTGAAATGCGCTGATGAGCTGACACCGATCCGGCAGATCCGGATCTGTTATTTGAAGTCTGGGCTCCGCAGTCTCATAAACCATTCGGCCTCTCTCTCTCTCTCTCTCTCTCTCTCTCTCTCTCTCTCTCTCTCTCTCTCTCTCTCTCTCTCTCTCTCTTTATCCTGGTGCATAATATGTACGAGCATCCTGACTGGGACGCTGCTCCAAAAAAACACACGCCTCAGCTCTGCATGCATACCTGTCTGGCTGGCTGGCCGTGTTGATTCCGGGCTACAGGCATCCTAAAATATATTATGGAGCCATACAACAGGCTACCAAGACAAGCGCGTTCACCATTTAGTGTACCTTAGTCATAGAATTCAAAAGACAAAATGATGTTGGTAAATGCAAACAAATTAACCATATAATGTTTCAGCAGGAATAGAATTTATAGGTCAGCGGTTTTCTGTAGCAACATTACAGGAATATTTCAGTGAAAAAATACCTAGGCCTATATATGTAAGACCACCTAACTCATTACTGAGGAGGGCAGACACCCATATAGATTGAGGATATTCAAGAAGGACAATTTACCCTATAAAAAGTCTGAATTTTAAACTAATAAAACCTCACTGTGGTCTTCGTAAATGCCGCCTTCACCACAAATTGCTCTTTGCTGTTCATATGTAAATGTTTAGTTTCAGAGCACTTAACCTCCTACCTTTCAGGCCATCGTCTTTGTCCTTTTTTCCCCTCTCCTTCTAAATGGTTTGTGTATTAATGTAGAGAATAGACATGCAGGTTGTGTTGTGTATTCCACAGTGGAAAATGGTGTTAGATGGTGTCAGTGTAGAGCAGCAATCAATAACATGGAAAAGTCTGTTGAATGCTATGTATCGAAGAGGAACAGCAGTCTGGTCAGAATCAATATGGTTTCTTATTGTTTGTTTGAAACTGATAGATTTAGTCAGAATCTATTATCTAGTATTATGCTTTAACCCTATCATGATAAGTATGTATCATCAGCGTTTGAGTTTCTTGCCTGTAAGATGAAGTTTGTACATTGACATCAGCCAGGCTCCTCCGCTCCTGTATGTGATTTATTTAAAGGGTCACTTCCCTCAAATTTACAATCCCCTACCTCGAGTGGTATCTACCCATGTAGATCGTCTTCATTCATTTGTCCATGATTTGAGATGTCCATCTCTGAACCCCAATACAGTGGAAAGGATTTTATAGGTAGCACATTACATTTAGCATATATTCTCTGAAAATGTGTACTTTTTACTTTAAATAATCCACAGAACATGCTATGAACAGTAGGGACTGTTTATTAGATTAGAAAGTAGTTCCAATGAAACTGTTGACACAGAATAGCAGGAATTGTTTCTGGAAAGAGGTAAAGAAAGAAATATAATTTCATTCACCTCAATGTATTGAGACAGAGGCAGACACATATGTATTGCAACCCAGGGACACAGTTAACTATCTGAATGCTAGATACCACTAGAGGTGATTAAAATGTGTTTTGTAATCTGGGTGAAGTCACCCTTTAACATTAGGGTTGACTGGTTCACCCAAAGGACATCTAGAAGTGAAAGAGACCAAGGTACCCAAAAAGTTCCCCAGAACCTGTTAGGAGAAATTTGGAACTAAGAGAATGGAAAAACAGATGTGTTTACTTGATTAAATTCTGCAGATCTATTATGGATCATTGAGTTGGTATTTAGGGATGTTGAGTTTAACCAGATACAGATAGAGAGTAAAATCACATCTATTGTCTATTGTTAAGTAAAGTGGGTGTGGGGCTCTGTGTGTGTGTGTGTGTTTTGGGGTTGTTAACCTGAGCAGTTACCCATGTTTCCTGTCAGTGAACACACACATTCACCACAGCTGTAAATAAAGAAAACATGGTGGCCATCCTGACAAAACACTGTGCGTATGTTAAGTGTTGTCTGAAAGCATCTAAGAGTTTTAAATATTTACGTGTTACCTAATATGAACATTTAAACACTTAAATTTTTCTTCATATCAGTTCATTTTGTGGTTTTATTTCCTCTCCATCAGGCTCCAGGGAAACAGCCTTCACTTACTCCATCAGCGCGGCCGGCGTTGTCAACGCCATCAGCCGGGCCTGCCGTGAGGGCGAGCTCTCCACCTGCGGCTGCAGCCGTTCTGCTCGACCCCGTGACCTGCCACGCGATTGGCTGTGGGGCGGTTGCGGCGACAACGTACATTATGGCTACCGATTTGCCCGGGAGTTTGTGGACGCCAGGGAGAGAGAGAAGAATTACCCGCGTGGTTCTGCTGAGCACGCCCGAACACTGATGAACCTGCAGAATAATGAAGCTGGGAGACAGGTACGGGAGACAAAGACACACATGTACTTTTTTTGTCAAAGATGAAACTTAAGCCTAGAGATCTGGATGTGAAGCTTTAGTGAAGGTGTGTGTGTCAGTGTATCTTAACTCTATGCTATGTCTGTAAGAATGTGTGTGTGGGTGGAGGTGGCCCCCGATGGACTGACTTGGCAGTATTTGTGTGTGTGTGTAAGTTATTTATTGGGAGTGTCCAAATGGTATGACTGCTAACGCCCTTGGAGTCTGGCTAGGTCGCCAGGTCAATGCACATTCCAGCGAAGTAACACACACACACACACACACACACATTAGCTCATACACACATAATGCAGCAACACAATTGATAATATGGGACTGATGATGATATTTCAGAGGTGAAACCTGTAAATAATGACTAGAAAACAAATAAGAAAACAAAAAAGATATGGATGGGTGGATGGCAGATAAATAATTGGATCTGATATGTTTTGTCAAACTAGCATGCTCGGGTTTCTGAGGTTTTTGGCCCACTGTGTTTGCCAGTTCCAAACATAATATTGGAGCTAAAGTTGTTTAGAAATGCTTTCAGGTTAGGAGAGCATTACGAGAAATACACTAAAAGAAACCTTTCACCTTCAACTGGGCTGTACCATGTACGCACACACACACACTGGCACACACACACCTTCCTCATAAAAGATCCATTTGCCTGTTCTGGTACACACCGGATCAGGAGAATGTGTTTATCTTCAGTTAGAGGAGCTTTGTTTAAGCGGTTTGCAAGACAAAGATGCTGTGTGTGTGTGTGTGTGTGTGTGTGTGTGTGTGTGTGTGTGTGTGTGTGTGTGTGTGTGTGTGTGTGTGTGTGTGTGTGTGTGTGTGTGTGTGAGTGCGTGTCCTCGTCTCTGCTCCATTTGATTTGTGTGAGAGACAGTGAGCCTGGTTTTGTGCATGTGTATCAGAGGTTAAAGGTGAGGGTCTGGAGAGGTTGTGTTTCTACAGAGGGTCCCATTGGGGCTGTAGGAGATTGTATGAGGGAGACAGATCTACTGCTACAACCTTGTATTAACACACACACACACAAATTCTGCCTTTCTGTAACATACACACTCTTTTGAATGACTTTCCCTCCTCTCTCCTATTTGATCCCTGGTTTTCATTGTTGTCTGTCCATCGAAACGGAAGAGAGGAGAAGAGAGAAATGAAAAGGCGGAGAACGAGTGAGAGGGAAACAGTCTCTTCCTCTTCGTCACTTCTTCCCTCTTTTTCTCTCTCTTTCTTTCGCGGACACGCCGGTTTGTCCTAAGCAGGATTTGTCTTGCTTGGCTGAACAAGGCAAACCGCAGGGCTTTTGTGAAGGTGACAGGGGCGTGTTGCTTTCTGTGTGTGTGTTTCAGTGTGTGTGCACGTGTGTGTGTGTGTACGCTCAGCTTAAATTTGATTTGTGTGGAAGGCGGACAACGTGGTCGTCTGTGTGTACAAGCGTCTGGAGACAAAGACGCAGGGTGAGGGATGGACCTCCGTCACACTCCCCCGACTCTCAAAGACCTCCACACATACAGCGATATACACACATCCACAGCCACCTAGGTCCACTGTCTCCGTTTCACACAAATCAAATGAGGCAGGGCTTGTCACACGGAGACCAAAACAACTAGATGTGCATTCCCAGTCTAAAGACAACAGCAGACCACTTTTGTGCCGGCTCTGCTCTGAAAATAGAAGGAAACTTTCACATTTACTATCCGTCAGCCTGGGGATCACTTTGTTGCTTCCTGCAACATTGATCAGATCTTTGATCTGGGAAAGAAAATAAGTCATAACAGAAGAGAAACATTTATTATGTCTGAATCCAAAGAAAAAAACAATGTGTTACTCCAAGCACAGATCTCCACTTCAGTTGTTGGTGAAATCAGTATTGTCTTTAACCTTGCATGTTGGGCACACAAGCATTGTGCTAACATGCTCATGTATTTTACATTTAATACAAAATCTAAAGGGAAGAGAAACATCTGATGGGCTGTTTGTTCCAATGCAGTGCTCTCATCTAATGTTCAAAAATGATTTACAAGCACAAACCGTTCTTGACTAAAAACAAAACGAGTTTTAAGCAGCTCTCCACAGCAAATCTTCTAGTCTTTATCTGCAGTCAGCTGACAAAGTGCCATCACTTCTCTTTGTGACGTCATTTAACAGGAGAAAAAAAAAGCAACCTTACAGAGGAGAAACATGCAGTAGATGTTGTGCATGGAGAGTAGAAGTAAATAACAGTAAAATTACAACATGGGGAAACAGTATGACAATATTACGTAGATAGAAATGAAGAATATGGATCCAGGAAACTGTTTATTAGTATTTTGATCCCTGGTTTGTCCCCGTGTTTATTTGAAAGTTGCTGATTTGAATTAGCATACTAACACTACACAGCTAAATTAGGCAAACAACAAGTCACAAAATGATCTTAAAACAAAAGCTAAGATTTAATGTAACAGCAAGAAGATCAGGCAGAAAAACATGTCCTTATTCTTGGCTTTCTTTGCTCCTCATTCATTGCTTATCACGCAGGGTGGGCTTTTTTCTCCATTTCTGCCTCGCTCTAGTACTGACTCCACACACACACACACACACGCACGCACACACACACGGCTCCTAACCCCTAACCCTGTCTGAGCAGAACCTATTGTGCCTGACACAGAGACCCTGTCTCCACCACGGATGACTGACTGTGTGTGTGGAGTCAGGTCCAGTGTCACTTTGCCCAGCAGGCATAACCCACCAAATAGCTCAGTGTGATGCAGGACACACAGACAAATACAGTATATGCATGGTTTAATTTGACAGCATGAGGTTATTGGCAGCTTGTACTACTACTAATAATAATAATGAGCTGTTTCTATAGCACCATTCAAAAGGATGTAGCTCAAATAATGTAATCATTGTACAAAATAATAGTAATAGCAGTAAAATAAAAGTAGAACAGTACAGAAAACATATGTAAGTGATTGAAAGACTACATAGAGAGAAAGTTAAGATATCAGATGAAAAGACTGAGATCGGTTTTAGGCTGTTGCTCAAAATCTCCCTCTGATTTTCTCCCTAATATCGTCCAAACTTTTATCCACAGTTTAGGGCCAAAGACAAAAAAAGAACTGCATCCCTAATTTTCTTATTACCGTAGTTCTGTACCTCTAATAAACCCCACAGTGGGGGATCTAAGGAAAAGGCTCGTAAAACAACAAGGAGTCGTAAAATATAAGGATTTTCTCCTGGTGTTGTGTGTATTAAACTAATCCTTAGCCTCCTGTTAACTCCGCTCTCACTATGAACAATGGAGAGATATAAAGTGAAATATTAAATGCATTGCCCTCTTGTTTTCTATTTTAAATCAACATTTTGTTAAATGGGAGAAAATATCAAAAACAGACCCACAAGCCTTCAAAACAAGGCTTCCACCTTCACAAAATGTCATTGTCCTCTGCTCTCAGTGTCTGTCTGACGGGGTCACGGGGGTCGAAACACAGGATTGGAGGGTGCAGAGTGCCATGCCTGCTGGGTAGTAAAGTAGAGGAGAGGGGAACAGGGGTGGGAGGCGGGGGTCGGGGTTGTTTGGGATGCAGGGGTTAACAGAGGTGAGAAGGTAATTGAGATCAGGCAATGCGAGGAGACATAGTGGTGGGTCTCATTTGTGTGAGGCAACATTAGGAATTAGAAAAAACTGATTCAGAAAGTACAGCATCTTGATGTGTATGTCTCACTTGGCACTGGTGCAAACATAACACAATACAGGATTAGTGACAGAGTATATGTGATTCGTGTGTGTGTGTGTGTGTCTGTGTGTTGTGAGTTGTTTATTGATTGCTGCTTAACTGGGGGTGGGGAAGCTGCCATGGGTGAAGGGCTCCCCCTAAAGTTCACGGCTGCTAGGACCATAAATCTTGTACTTCCTGGGGGGTGTTGTTTTTAACATATGTGAAAATAAAAAAGCAAAGCTTCATAATGTTGAGACTAGTGAAGATCTTTATTATATTTGGGGATACAGTGTCTAAGATGAGCTGTTTTGGGGTAAAATAGGGCATTTAGTTAGGATGTTCAGGATATTGCAGGATCTAGAGCAGGGAATTTAGTTTATATTTATATTTTTAGATATTTAGCCCATTTAGACATCATGAATGAGAGAGATTTGGGCAGATAGGTGGATTAACCCAGTGATCTCTCCATACGATACTACAATTTTACTGACTTCATAGCTAATAATAACTTATTGTATAGTTTTCTCACAAGTATTCTTTAAAACGACTCCTTTCTATGTGGGAACACTGTGGGAAAGTGGATTTACAATAGAGCCACATTTCCTCTGGTTAGTTGTGGCCCTTCTATTCTCAGTCAGCTGTTTGTTTTAGTTTGGTGGAGTAGTATTGACAGCAGTGTCGGAGAAAAGCGCTCATGGAGTTTTTCTTTGCTTTGCATTTTGGTGCCCTTTTGGTTATCAGATGATCTGCTATACTGCACATTTTAACAGGAGGGGGTTTCACACCAGCAAGACAGAAAAGCGGAGACAGGAATGTTTCTAGATTTATTGCTGTATAACGCTAATTTAGGAGAAAAGTCCTTCAGGAGGTGTAGCAGTGAGTGCATGGATAAGTGCACAGCTGGCACATGTGGATCTACATGTGGTGTCGCTCCTTTCAGCCATTATTCATATTTGTCCTCTTACATTTCATTTGGTAGCCGCATTTTATAATAGCCTAAATATAATATTTATATAACTGAGCTGATTGGGACCCAAAGCTCTTGGGTGCATTACATAAAGAATATAAACTTAAGTGTTTCCAGGGGCAGTTTGTTAAGCACATTTATTCTGCCTTACTTCGCCAAGTAGTTGATGGGAGAGAGTAGTGACACATGTTCACCACTAGATGGTAGCAGCATTGCAGTAAATATAGCCGATCTACTGCACAACATAAAGGTTTCAGACTGTGTAAACCAAGGGTGTTAAATTAAAGGCCTGCAGGTCAGATCCAGTCTGCAAGACAATTTCATTTCATGTACAGCCCACAAAAACATGGTTTATTTGAAGTATTTTTTTACTCAAAAACACTTTCCTAACCTAAAAGCACAGTTGACTTGGAGCACTGAAAGTTTCAAGAGAGATTAACGGTTGATTTCTTTTATGGATTGTTTAATGTGACTACAGTATGACTATTTATAGTTGACATTTATTGAGGAAAATGTTCTCCCTGTATAGATAGGAAAGCAAAATCAGGATTAAGCAAACCAACCCCATCTATCTGTCTCTTTCTCTCCTACTACCAGGCAGTCTATAACCTCGCAAATGTTGCCTGTAAGTGTCACGGCGTCTCAGGTTCCTGCAGTCTGAAGACCTGTTGGCTCCAGCTGGCCGACTTCAGACGTGTTGGAGAGTTCCTGAAGGAGAAATATGACAGCGCGGCCGCCATGCGCATTGGACGCAAGGTATTGAACTCACAGCAGATGCGTCTCCCCTTCCTAGATTGTTGTGAGCAAAAACACTGAGCAGAATTACCCTGAAAAATAATCTTAAATCTTAAACCAGCTGACTCTCTCTCCACTTCCAGGGCAAGCTGGAGCTGGTAGACAAGCGCTTCAACACCCCGACCCCGGAGGACCTGGTCTACATTGACCCCAGCCCCGACTACTGTCTCCGCAACGAGACCACGGGCTCGCTGGGCACGCAGGGCCGCCTCTGCAACAAAACCTCGGAGGGCATGGACGGCTGCGAGCTCATGTGCTGCGGCAGAGGCTACGACCAGTTCAAGATCTACAAGCACGAGCGCTGCCACTGCAAGTTCCACTGGTGCTGCTACGTCAAGTGCAAACGCTGCTCGACGCTCGTGGACCAATTTGTGTGCAAATAGCACGCTGACAGATGACAGACGGTTGGAAGGGGATGAAAAAGGAGGCGAGGAAAAGAAGATAAAGAGGGAGGAGGTGACGGGATGATGGGGGGTGAAGGAAAGAATTAATTTTCAGGGTTTTGTTCAGGCTACGCTAAGACACACAAGTTCCATTTTCTGACCAGTTTCATCTCCACTCCATTTATATCTTTTATCTATTTATATCGCCTGCCTTTTCACGAGCAAAAGCTGCATAACACCTATGTGGACGGTTTTTTGCACAATGATGGATAGATAGATAGGTAAGAAGAACAAATGGATGCAAGTAGGAATGTGATTTCTTTCTTGCTTTTTGGACAACTCTGACTTTTATTTTTCTCACCACTCCATCATCACTTTCTGCTGTCCTGTATAATTATCCTGATCACAACCCTGAAGGAAAGAGGGATGTAAAGAAGGAAAGACAAACAAAATGGATGAACAAAAAAGGACATCAAGGATTAACGGACCTAGGAAGTGGAACAACTGGATCCTAAAAAGGGGCCACATACGACTAGTGTGATGTATGTGATAACAAAGTTATACGAGATGAAATAAATATATAATTAAATAATAAATAAACATACAACTCTGATTGTTATTTAAAGAGACTCAAACAAACCTAAGGCCCAGTTTGGACCCATTAAACTCTGTTCATGTGTTCGGGAATCATTACAATCATCATGGAATTTGAAGCCATGTGAGTGCTGAACGGTGTCGCCGTGTCTCTTTCAAAGAACGTTTGACCTTTAATCCTGCTAGAGTTGCGCTGACGTTGCTCCACACACTGTACAGAGAACACCAGAAATGCAGAAAAGTCCAGACTGAAACAGGCAGATGAGAGCGGGTAGGAGAGGAATCACTTTTTGGCGGAGCAAAACGGAAAGAGGGTGATTGGAGGGGATAGAGAAAGAAGGACAAAGTTAAATGAACTGAGGACTCATTTTGCAACAAAATGCAGGACACACTTTCACAAGCCACACAGCTGATTGGGAAACTCAAGCACGGGAATTTCCAGCAGTAGATTTCTTATTAGAAAATGTATTAAAGTTCAGTAAAAACACTTAATCTTCAAGTCAAAAAGGACTAATGGCTTACAGGACATGCTCCATCCATTTGTCCCAGTGTAACTATTGCATATTTCCAGCACCTGTGAGCTGACAAGCAGGTTAATGAGGCTCGCCGGTTGCGGCCATCTTGACAACCGTGGCTGTTTAAACAAGCGGCTCCTGGTCCATGACCTTCATCTGACAGTAAAGTGAGCAGAACCTCCATTAGTGAGATTAATGTGCTGTATCTGCCTTAATGAACCCGCACTAAGAGACACGTTCACTGTGAGTGGACCTTTATCTCGTGTTGTTATGCAACTTGTCAAGTCAACAAAAAGCTCTGTGGTGTCCATGATGGTGTTTGTGCAGTTTTGCCACCAATTTAACATTTTATAATGCTGTTATACCATGAATTTTGCAGTTTGTATGAGTTGGGTTGAGAATATTCTATGTAATCCGATCGATAGACCCAAACATGAGTGGACAGAAGAGGACTGAACATGCTGTGGAAAAATGAATGTGTGAGCGTGGAAAAACAGAGGACTGCAATTTATTATGTTCTACTTTAAAAAGAAGTAGTAGATAAGAAAAGAAGGTATATTTTATTATTGTTTTTCATTTTCTATTTTCTATGTTTTATACGTGAGTATTATTGTGTATTCTTTTGATAAACTAGTCTTCGACAATGAGGCTTTGTTCTGTTTTTGAGTCAGCTGCAGTTCTTTGGGAGAAGTCTGATTCCAGGCAACACTTTTCACTCTGTTCCCCACAAACTGGAGAACTAAAGGCCTCCAGTTTAGTTCAGTTTAAAGGGAGGTTTTGGAAAATGATGCTGCGATTTCTGAATACGGAAGTAATGCAGCAAATGACCTGGTGCCATTCACAACAACGATGTCAAAATTATAAATCAGAACATCCGCAATGAATATAAAAGTAAATTATGTTGGCACAAATTAAAGAAATAGACTAATATGATAAGTCATTCTAGACTGAAGCACGTGTGACCATTTTTTCTTTCACTAATTATTGCTTTTAGCAAGTCATTTGTAATGTATTTTTCTTCTGACGTGAATAGTAAACGTCTGTAGAAGTGACAGTGATGCAGAATTGGCTTTTATAACTACCGCTCAGCTGAATTTAGTAAATGGCTCATTATTTCATCGTTTTCAAGGAAATTTGTGACACTGTCACACCAAAACTCCGTAGTAATGAAATTCTTGTTGAAGACATTAAACCTGTGAAGCTAAAGCTTTGAGCTGGAGTCAGCGGAAATGTTTTGTGTGTTTTGTTAGTGTGACAACAAGGCCTCTGAATAAACACATCACCTGACAATAGCCACTGAAATCTACAATGAACATTTACAGATATTTATAATGATATGAAATGATATCTTAGTTGTGTTTAGTTAGCTTAGTTAGATGTTTTCATAGTGTTTATGTATTGATTCAAAAAATGGGAATTTGGAATGGGAACTTAGTTCAAGATTAATTTGATGGAATTTTGAATTAACTTCCTTTTACCTTATCACAATTTGCATTTTGAGAATAGTGTGTGCACTTCCCATATATATCATATACTGTAGGGCTATATACTAATTCAAGTCAACAAAAATTCCCAAACTCTAATCTTGCATTGATCTTTGAATTTACAATTATTTGGCAGCCAATCCTTAGATTTGCAGTTTTTTCAACTCAAATAACGTAGTAAAGATAATGTTTAATCTTATTGATCAATCTTCAGTATTACAGTAGTACTGACATGAGCACATAATCAGAATGTTTCATGTTTAACTCTACATCACATTATGTTTATATGTATGTATCGTTTTCTCACATAAAAAAAGCAAAGTCTTATGTATAAAATTGTCTTCTTGCACTTAGGGATTGATGATTTATTTTTTTTGAAATTGCATCCATAGTATTCCTGCATCTTGTCACTCTTTCTGGTTTCGAGCTTATTTTCTCACGCCTCCTCAACGACCTTTGCTCCCGTCAGATGGACAAACAGCTTGATTCCTCATCTGTGCCACGGCTGCTTCTAACCCTCTGTGTTTGCATCTTAAACTATCACCTTTCAACTACCAAATCACTTACACTGAACTTTCTTCTGGTTACTTTATGGCACCAGCATATAACTCTATAAAATGCTCCAGCAGCTTTGCTAAAGAACCTCGAACAACTTTTAGCACTTAAATGTCAAGCACACAGTCATTGCTAAGCAGGTCTGCAAAGTGACCTAAGCAACATCCCATTACTTTTAGCTGCTCACTGCTAATTGGAGAAGACCACTGACCGGAGCAATATGACTATCCAACAGTACTGTCTGTGTGTAATCCTCCTCATCTGATAGAGGTCTGTGTGTGTGTGTGTGTGTGTGTGTGTGTTGATCTCATCAAAGACAAAACTTCTGCTGATTTTCCTACAGAGACTAGTATTCTACATTAATGGCTTATGTATTTGTTAGTAAGTGTGTGTGCGTGTAGATGTGCATATGTGCAACTGCTGAAGATGAGATTAGTTAGAAAGTGTTACCTGGTGGTTTCTCTAATCGTTTTCACCTGACAGTGTTGCTCATTTGTTTTTACTCCGCTGTGAAACAAACAAACACAATGGCCCTGTCTTCCTCTTATGAGAATGTTTCAGGTTATATTCTTTTCTTGTTATTATAGTACTATTTTTAAGTCTGCTTTTAGGGACTAATACACTTTTTTGCAGTTCATGCAGAGGGTGGACATGGCACTGTTGTGGCTCTGAGAGTTTTGAGAGAGTCTGCAGCTTTTGTGCCTTAAAATCATCTTGTAGGTCATTCAAAATACAGTTAAAGCAACACCATTACTTCAGAAATGTTTTTTAGTGGGGATAATATCCCTTTCTAAATTTGGACATTTCTTTCTGGTATTAGCCAGAGTCCCCAAGTAGTCACTTATTAGTAAGAAAAATTCAGAGTTTCTTGTTTCAGCCACCACTATCACCTTGGAGTCTTACTGCTGTCTCCTCAGGTGTTTGGTGATCTGGAGCAGTCCTGCAGCTTTAGACTTCATTATAAACATTCCCCTTATCTTCCTCTCCACAGCTTTGCCTCTGCTCTTCCCAGAGATACAGCTTAGCAGCAGAGTGAGACGAAACATGTAGCCACTGGGCTCTTTAAAAGGCCAAAACATGTCTCTGCACGTCTACATGCAAACTGTACTGGAACATCAGTACAGTGATGGAATTAATGAGACCCAGCTGAGTCCTGATCTGACCCTCTGGTTCTTACCTGCGGGATCTTGTAGTGTTTCACTGCCAGCTGTCTGATTATAAAGCCAAACCTGCCTTGTGGCAAGGATTGTTCTTCTTGCAGTTGGACAGCATGACTGTAAGAAAGGCTCATACAATTTATCGTAACATCTTTTTTTCTCTTTTCTGTGCTGTTCTTGGCATTGAGCAATGAGGTAATTTCTTTTACAACCTGTTCCCTCCATATGTTCTCCTTTGTCCAGCAGGGGGGAAACTCCCACGGCTGGAGGGAATTCTGGATGAAAACAACCTTAAAAGAGTCTAATCTCTGCAAATAAAATAAAGCCAGGATATTCAGTTATATAGAGCATGTTGTAAGGATGTCACTGGGATTCAGCAGATACAACTTACTGTATTTCACAATGCTGTCTCACTGAGACAAAGCTACTTTTGATAATTTAACCAGCTGTAGCTGTACATGATGCCCTGAAGCAAACTGTACAATGGGATCTTGAACGTGCTGTGTGTGTGTATGTGTGTGATTAGCCAGCAGCTGTTGTAGTTAAGACATCCCTAGGCGAACTCTCTGATCTGGATTAGCAGACGTGAAGAAGACACAACCTCATTTACTCTCTCTCTCTCTGTTTCTCACACACACACAGACACACAGACACACACACACACACACACAAATAGAAACAGTTTATACATTCATATTCCTGTTGCTGTGTCAACTGCTGCTTCTGTCTTCTTCAATTTTCTCTTCCTCTGTCTTCTTCAAACAGACACCCAGCTTAAAAACCAAGTCAAACACAAATGCTCAGCCACTTATCTGTAAGCTCATTCATCCATATGCTTTCTACAAGCTTTGGCTGTAGCAAAATAGACTGCTCAGTCCTACTAAACCAGAATATTTAATTTTCTTGGGATGCTACTGTAAATTCAGTAAATGCGCTTTGCACTGAAAGTTTATTATTTATCAGTGCCACTTTATTTATCGTAATTTAATCTGTCCAGTTTATTCATATGTGTTATTTAAACTGGGGAGGCTGGGGACATGTCCCCACCACTTTTTGAAAGCATAATTTGTTAAAAAAACACAAAAACATTCTGAAATATAGCTTGCCGTTAAATTACAAATTAAAATGCCTTTAGAAAGGTTTATTTGCACATTAAGAAAACATGCAAATCATTTAAAATATAGAAGAAACAAATTTGCATTGTCCACAAAAATTAACTTAAGCTAAGAAAACCCCAACAAGCTACTGATTATAAAATGACCCAAAAACGTGCATGCACTAATCACTAACTTTAACAACTTCTTGACACAGTTTCTTTTTGGCCAAGTTCTCTCTCTTTGAACATGACAAAAGAGGAGGGAGAAAAGTTGATCCACAGGAGACATAGATCTGAAAGCAACACTGAATGCCTGAGAGCTGCACTGCGTTATCCATCCATCCATCGTCAACCGCTTATGCTGCAAACTGGTTTGGGGGGGGCGGCTGGAGCCAATCCCCGTTGACATCGGGCGAAAGGCAGGGTACACCCTGGACAGGTTGCCAGTCCATCGCAGGGCCACACATAGTCAAACAACCATGCACACACGCACACCTAAGGACAATTTAGAGCGACCGATTAACCTAGTCCGCATGTCTTTGGAAGGTGGGAGGAAGCCGAAGCACCCGGAGAGAACCCACACGGACACGGGGAGAACATGCAAACTCCACAAAGAAAGGTTTGAACCCATGACCTTCTTGCTGTGAGGCCATCCTGTGCTATCCACTGGACCGCCGTGCCGCCTGCACTGCATAATATTCTATTATATTAATATATTTTGAAATGTCACCTGCAACCTGAATTTTGTGTTTCCTTTTAAATAAATAAAAACATTGCCGCCATGAAATGGTGCAGAAATGTTCACCAGAATGCAGGAAATTAAGTGTTTGAAGATCAAAATTTCCTGGGGGAGGCCGCCCCAGACCTCCCCACTCATATATCTCGCCATTGAGGATATCTTTAAAACATTGTTTAAAGATCTTTTCGTCTCGTTCTGGTGAACATAATATCATGTATTGTGATGTCTCGCAAGCTAAGTGTCTCTTCACACCCCTAATCTGAGCCCCTATGTCCCCACCACTTTTCAACGCAAAGTTTATTACCCCATCTCTTGCACGTGGACAGATCCAATAGGCTACAAATTATTCTTATTTATCACACAAAGCTGCAGACAGCAGCCCACTGGACACACCTGAAACCAAGAAGAATGCAAATCACTGACTAATGATGCAACACTAACAATTGCAGAACAATCAGTAGGGATCATGTTATTATCAAAAAAGTTAAGTTTTAGTCGTCTGCCCAAAGCTTGTTAGGGGCTTCAGTTATTCCTCTCAAAGATTATGTAGTCGGTGGCTGTTAACCAAACAAAATGTAAATCCGGGTTGCTTCCTCGGGTAGGGGGGCTTTTCAGTGAAAAACAGTAAAAGAAGAACTCATGCAAACAGCAAAATTAAAATGTTAAGCATTGTCACCTGCAAATGAAATCCATTAATGGAGCTAACATCAAACCACTTTGAGGAATTCAGGGCAGTGACCATGAAAAGTTTATTAAAATTAACAGTGACACCAGAAAGTATGCAAAGAGTCACTCAAGGCCTTGTGAGTCAGTCGTCACTGAATTCCAATGAATGAAAACAACTCACACTTCATTGGTTTTTAAGCAATATGCCATTTTTAACATTAAGCAACTTACACAATGTACAAGATGAGTAACAATTTACAGTGTTTTTATTCTCTGCGTGACAACTCTGCCTGCCCTAACTGAAGGCTCAATACAGTGGTGATAAAACTTTCCATGACCTGTGAAGGCGAGGCTGAGGCGTGGTGGGTTTGAAAGAGTTCACATCATGTGCTCTGCTCTCCCATCGCGCCCTGTTTGTGGATGTTTGCATTATATCAGTGTGTTATTAACCACATGTGGGATCATGTCTGCTACATTCGGGCATGTTTGGCCATGGATGTCATCACTGTAGCTCTGTAGTTTCCACACAGTTTACAGAGGGTGCATGGTGAAACCCAAACACTTTGTTTTTGTAATTTCTTTGTGTGTGAAGACATGTTACAGTTCCTAACTGCATTTACAGTCAGACAACAATTACACAATTTGCAATAGTGTTTGTTAATTTTAGACCTTCAGCTTACAATGTTACCCAAAAGTGAGAGCGATTGAATGAAGAAACACTTCTGAGTGGGTGCCAGGAACACAAACAAACACTTACACACATCACTCCCAGCTAATGGAGAATTACTAGTAATTTTAAGGAAATTAATAATGAGCTAGAGAAGAAATGAGTGATATGTAAACATATTTCTTTATGTTATTCTCAATTTTGTATTTTAAGTGTGTAAATGTTTTACTGTAGTGAATATACATGCAATCCAAATACTTGCAAATGCTGATGAAAGTCTTTTTTAGTCCTCTATGTGTTTGAACCAGGTATCAGATATTGTGTACACTGTACAACAAGGTGACGTTTATAGACACACTGAACAATGCTAATTAAATCATTAATCATTAACATTTTTTTAACTAAGTCTTAAATAATCTACACCTGTTATAAAGCAAAAGATTATCCAAATGGCCACATTACCCAAGGAAGGTCTTGCACACGTGTTCCCACACACACACACACAGATAGAGTGGCAAGGGAACATTTAAATGCTGGATTAGCAATATGGACGTGGTGCAATCAGAAATCAAGGTTATGCAAAGAAACTGTGATACCCTGCCACCCGCAGCACATGTTGCCACCGCTGTGAATTCACGGAGGTCTGTGGAGCTGAAGGTCTCCCTTCAGTAACCAGCAGGTCCCAGTGTTTCACAGCAAATCAAATAATCTGCTAAATAAGGCTGAAAAACAAGATATGACCCTAACCCAAAAGAAACGTCTCAAGTGTCTCAAACTTGACACTTACATATTTAAAGCATAAGATAAAATACAAAACATATTGACAAATGACAACGACCACTGTGCTGAGATACCGTCTTTCCTTTTCCATCATGCAGCCAACTTAGTCGTTCTGCTATCATCTGCTTTTCCAAGGATCAAGAAGAATAACTGGGACAAAGAACAGAGAATGAACCATTGTTCCATATTTTGAAGCACATTCTTCAGAGACACATTCTGTTGAACCTGACTAGCACCAGACAAGGTTAAAATGACATCACATTTTGTGCCTGCATACACTGAGTCCTTGGCGCAGAACTAAAAACACATGAGTTATAATAACTCCACATGCCAACCAGTTCAAATGATAAGGTGAATAAATCTCCGGATTAGTCAATAAAACCGTATGTTGAGTAAATAATAACTTTAAAGTAATTTTAAATTATGTTAGATGTCAGGAATACAAAAAATACTGTAAACCTTTGTTTTGTAAATGTGGTGGTTGAGTAGGACAGTCACACACAGTTCTCTTCAAACCTTATCTATATAATTATACTTATATAACTATATTTTTATTCTGTTGTAAACTTTTCAGACATCCCTCCACAACCTACATAGATAACAGTTAAACCAAGTTAAAAGAAATTAAAACTTTACACTCATCATTAACAAATCTTATCAATCAGGAAAGATGTGATAAGATAAAGTCATTGCCCCAGTAGCATGCAACGGTAATCAGGTCAAAGTACTGAGGTGACATCACATACTGTTTCAGCAGAGATACAATTATCTGCATTAACACAGGAAGGTTTTCAACATTTTTAGAGTCTCCTCTATTACCCTGAAAACAAACAGCTACCTGTTGAAAAAGTTGTTGAACTTGTTTGGTGGTGAGACCGTGAACCTGATCAACCAGACCAATGAAACTGCACTGAATCGTATACACCCAGCTACCAGTGCCTTGCATCACAATAAAACCGTTCACACAATCATGCAATCTTAATTGCAGTGCAGCAGGGTGTGTCTGAGTGTGTTGTGGCATGGTACACCCCTGGATGTGTACATCTCAGGTCAGGGGAGCAGAGTGGGAAGAGAGCAGGTGATCCAAAAATCTCAGACATGTGGGGGTGGAGCTGAACTGTCACACCACCAGCACCTGTTTTTGTATAATTGTTGGTCACATATGGTGAGGCCCTGTCTGCAAAAATTACTATTGAACATTACTAATAATATTAATACAGATACAGAAAAACTTTTAAGACACTGCATTTATAACATAGGCGTCTAATCCTGAAACAATTGAATAAATGAATTGATGAACTGAAGATTTGCCATTTTGATCAATCGTTTAAGTCGTATATTAAGTAAAATCCCAAATATTTGCATTCAGACCATTTCTTAAATGTCAGGAGTTACTGTTTTTCTCTGACTATATAATTATGAATCAAATATCTGGACTATTGGATGACACAGGATGATGCAATTTGAAGACAACACTTTGGGTGTTGGGGTGGTAATCTTTCTTTCCTTTTTTTGACATTTTAAAAATTAAACAACTTGCTCGATTGTTGGTCTTTGAATGACCAAACATTGTTGAAAGTTACTCTATTTCCACATGGCAGCTGCAAAACAAGTTTCCAACTGAAACACTGCTGGCTACACAACTAAAACAGAATTGAATTTAAATACAGTGACACAACTCACATCATATTTCATAACCTATCTCAGATATTTGTTTCAGCTCACAAATGTTGCTATATCCACTGATTTAACACACTTTTCTGGCACATAATTTGCCACAACAGTTTAAAAACTACAACAATGTCGCTTAATCTCTATAATGTCTCTTCCTGTTCCTGATCGTCAGTGACTGGTCGGTTTATTCTTCGTTGTGCAATCTGATTGGCTATCGGCCGTCACGCGAGCGGCGTCACGCAGTGATTGCCTCCCTCCGACGTCGCCTAGTCCAGTCTGGTCTAGCCAGAATCAGTCACCGTTGAGAGTAACGTGAGAGAGGAGCAGAGCAGCCAACTTAACTCTCTGTTAACAGTGTTACACGACCCAAAGGACGGATTCCGCCTGAGACATCAGGACCAGGTGAGTAATACAGCTGACACTGGCCTCAATTGGTTGTTATCCTTGTTCTATTTTGTTTCAGGCTGTTAAATTCACCCAGGACTTTTCCTAGCGTAACGTTAGCGCCTATCTGAATGTAACCTGCCAGCTAGCAGCTTTGCTATCCAGCTAATTCTGGCTGTCAAAACAACAGAGAGCAGCATAATTTGCTAGCCAGCGAGAAAGCACAGGTATACTCTCTGTTTACGAGGCGTTATCACTCATATGGAGGCGGTATATCGTGTGTTAGGTCGACGTGGTAAGCTGTCAAAATAAACACAAGCTCTGTTACAGAGTTTTCTTGCTTGTAGCAGCTGGTGTTAGCTGACTAGCCAGCTCGCTAGCTCGGTGTAAACAAACCATCATAGTCTGTCGATGGGCAGCAGTCTGCTTCTTAACACAGCCTGGGTTAGATGTAAGGTGAAACATTTTTGCAACAGTTTAAGTCAAACAAATACAAACGCTCCTTTGTGTGTGGCCTGAGTTGGAAGTATTTTACAGATTGGCGCTGTCAAGAAGGAGGTTGTCTGGCTGGAGTTTGGGGTTTCTTTGTCTTGCTTGCTCGCCAGTGTTGTGTTGACTCCTCTGAGCTCTGTGTGAGTTTAGAGCATAACGTTAGTAGAGTGTGGATGAAATCGCTGCCATGGTTGCGCACTTGTTTTTGGATTAGAATGGTTGAGAGAGCCTATATTGTCGTAAAAGCAAATTTATTTAAATACTTGACAGTCCTGTTTTGCCTCAGCTTGGTTTATTTTGGTATCCAGCTATGTTATGAGTGTTTCACATCAGGACTGCTTTCTGTATAATCTACCCTTTGGACTATGCTGTAATTATTTCATAACCAAATAATGTTCATAAGGAAGATATAAGTTGCTTTTCTGTGTTTGAACTTCAAAGACTTGATCTGAGCCCAATCCCTCTGCTTTATGTAAGTCTGTGGGGGCTTAACACATATTTCACACAGTAAGCCATAGTACGTTTTTTTTTTAAAGCAGTTTTATTGAACATTTGCTCTGCGAAGAAGCTAGTATATTCAGTATTTTCCAGCCAATATTCACTTTTTAACCAAATAAATTAGGATTTCTGTGAAAAGGGCTGCTGATACATAGACATAGAACAGAAAATGGGATGGGCACACAGCAGTACTTGCTGTGTGCCCATCCCATTTTCTGTACTGTTTGCCACAAAGCATGATGTCATATTATAAATATTTTATGGGCTGTGTTGCTGATAGCCTATTTGTCTTGAACCCGAACTTTATATGTTCAAAAGCCCTCCTAGTCATCCCCCCAGCTCAAGATTATCCCATGGATATTTCATGGAGCAGTGTCGTAGCTGGTATTTGTGTTGAAACCTACTCTGCATTTTTAATCTTGCAGTTTGACCCTTTGGGTTTTCAAAGTGTAAAACTTAACAGGCTCAGAAAAAAACTTAAGTTTGTGATCTGTAAAATATAATTAAGAGCATGTCGATGTACTTCTGTGTCAAAGCCCATATAGGGATGCAATTCCGATTTTTTTTATTTTATTTTATGCAAAACAACAGTGTTCTATAAAAAAATCAAGTACCCACAGTATGTTAACCGCATAGAGTTTCATTTATCTGATTCATCTAACCAGGAAATTTGCTGTCATTTCCTGTTGGAAGATATTGATTTGCAATTATACAAATAATGAACTCAGAACTTCCATCGCTTGAGCTGATGTGTGCATCGCGTCTCGCCCTTTGTAGTTGTGGCTATTAAGCTGTACGTCATATTTTTTACTGGAAGTACAACTCTCTAGAGAATTTAATGTATAATGAAGTCAGTCTTTGACAGTGTGCCAGGCAGGAGAGGAGAGCAGCTAAACATAGCTGCTAAGAATAGTAGAGAACTGTCAGTGCAAAATTGATTGATCATAAGACAGAGTAGCTGCTGCTCTCTTTCTTTAATATTCCTCTTCTTGTCTCCATTTGTGCCCCCCCCCCCCCCCCCCCCCAAAATATCAAAACAGGGCTAGTTGTGTGTGCGTGTGTGTGAGGTGTACAAAACAAAAAGAACAAAACACGCCTTTCTCTCAAATGGTTTGTCTTTGAACATGTACGCACATAACAACATTTGCATTACACCCAGCTAAATTAGCCTGTCACTAGAAGCATCTTACGCCCATAGACTGTATAAAATAAGTCACGATGATGTCACCCATTGGTTTGTGGACTAGTGTTTTGAAGCCTCTAGTTTGGCATTTTGAAACCAGAAGTGACCTGATGTGACCATATTTAGACAAGAGGGTGGCGCTAGCTACCTTGGTTGCAGCCGTAATTAACGTTATCTGTGATATTAACCGGGATGCTAATTTTGGCGAGTGAAAAAACAGACTTAAAACAAAATGTTCTAACCGGAAAATTGAACAGCTGACTCCTAAAAAGCTTTTTCAACAGCGCAGAAACGAGTTGCCTCTGTCCTGATTGACAGGTCACCATGGTAGAGACTTGACGATCACAAGACAGCCACAACCTAAATCATAACCTGCTTTATTGTCATTTTTCCTGTAAATGGGACCATTATCACAAAATGAACACCATGCTGTATTGAAGAAGACTTAAAACTAACGCTTCAGACCATAAACTCATTTGGAAAGTGTTTACTGAGGGAATAAATCAGCTGAGAAGTAGGGTCATTTTGTCATTAAATCCAATGCAATCGGACTTATTTTTGCAACCAGTGGAGCTGCCGCTTGCTGACACCACATTGGTATCACTTTTCAGACCCGGAGGTTCCCAATTGCTTACGCCCCAATCACTGAGCATAAATGGCATTAACAGAAATAATATGTTTTTCTCTCTATGTAACAGTAATCTGAATAAAATGATTTTGGTGACCTCTGCCTACAGCTAAATCGTAGAGTTAGCTAACAAAATAGCCTATGGTTTTGACCCTTGTGTGTTTTGTTCAACCTGTCTCATGTTGCAGAGACAGAAGGCACTGATGTCTTAATATAGTTCATAGCTTTAGGTTCCTTCTTCAGAACATTTAGGGGACCTATTTTTATCCTTGTGCAACGCACCTTTGCATTACCACCCAGTGCTTGAAAACCACTGCATTTGGTTGCACTGTATTAACCGGCAGAGCCAACAGCACACCACTGACCTTGTGGTCTGTGTCTGCTCTGTTTTCAGATGGTTGGTGGTTCAGTACAATTTAGAGACTAGGAACAGTGTCTTAATATCTTTGGACAGGATTTAACCTGTGTTAATGTTAGCCTAGGCATTGTATAGTGGAACATTTACACATTTTACAGGACAATTTGATATATTCATCGATTCTCTGCTTTACCTAAGTGGGGTTAAGTCAAACTCTGCAATCAGATAGATTTTTTAGCCTTCATCACCAACAACTGAAGAGTTGATAACTTGGTAAAGTAACACGCAGTGCCACCGTGTTTTTATGTGGATCTTTCTGCCTTTGCACATGCATCTATGGCACTTTCTGTGATTATGAGAGCACTTTTCTTTTCTAGAGGTGAAAATAGGTCTTTTTTTTTGTATTTGTTGGTGGATGTATTTTGGCTCTCAATCACATCCTCAATATAACTCTATGGGGAGTGGCATGACTTGCCTATAAGGATTTTGGTACCTGCTCTTTTGGGCAAGCAACCGCTTTTAAAAAGGGTTTGTTGAAATTGTTGAAAATAAGTATGACAGAGTGTTACAAGGGTTATGAGTTTGTTTCACATCAAACCAAATCGTTGGCTATGACGAATCACTCCATCTCCTCTGGAGAAGGACACCTGAATGTCTCGCTAACATATCATCTGTGCTTATGTATGTATGTGTAATCTGTCATGGTATTTTTCTCTAATCTTCTGATGAAAGTAGGAATGTCTTAGGAACAGGGTGTTGTGGGGACACATAGTTTTAGCCTGTGGCATACCTGTGGAATATTTCTCTGGTAAAACCACCTCCCACCATGTCGGGCAGACGTGAGTGTGTATACTTGGTAGTAAGTGTGCAATGTGGCTGCCTGTTTGTGTATACTGTGAATGAGAGGAAAAGGGCGTGCATGTGCTTGTGTGTGGTTCACTCAACACTGGTTCTCTTTGTTTATCTGTCTGTCATAAGACTGCTGGCACCCGCATCAGTAACTCACTGTTGTACCAGGAGTGAGCGGTCACCAGGAGACACACACTTACATAGACAATATATATATATATTGTTTTGACATAGAAAAACATGCTAAACTGGCTTGCAAATATTCTGAAGTGTCTCTCATTAATTTTCTCATAAAGCAAACCCCACCCATGTGAAGCCGCCAACGGTTAAATCAAATTATACAATTATTTTCACTGACTAACTTTTAGGTGTAGCAGCATGGAGACAGAGAATGAAATGTGTGTTTTCAGTAATATTATGGTAGGGTGGGTGTGTATGCGTGTGGCTATGTTTAAGTGCAGGTCTCGTTAAGACCAGATAGACCCAGTGAACAGTAAAAGCAGTCATGTGGTCTCAAACAGCAGGTTTGGATCATTGTAAAGCTGCCCCGAATACAAAGGGAGGCCTATTCACACCCCACACCCCCCGCCACATGAACACACACTGCATAAAGCGCCATAAAAATGTGAAGGGCACCACCAAATGAGAGAGTTTGACTCCGAAGTGACTAATCCAATTTTTGTGGGAAGAAAATGTCTCCAACTTTAAAAAATAGTGCATGGATAGCAGGACACCTTAGTTCACAAAACAGTAACAATTTACTAGAGCCCGACTGATATAGGTTTTTGGGGGCCGATGCTGATATTAAAGTGAAAAAGAGCCGATTTATGAGCCAGTATTTTGATTTTAAGAATGATTTGGATAGTAGACCCCTTTACTGTATAAACTACACTTAGAACAGGCTGATATTGAAAGCTGGTATGTATGTGGGCTATAAAACCGTTTCCTAAATGGATTATATTAATAAAATTGATTACAGTCTCAAAAAGTGAACATGTAAACAATTGCAC